AGATAGATAGATAGATAGATAGATAGATAGATAGATAGATAGATAGAACATCTATTAATCCCAGGTGGGAAATTCGAGGCCTGCAGTAGCATGTTCTAATTATACAGAAAAAAACCCACATGAAATAATCAAAAAAGAAGCAAAATGCACAAATTTGGAAAAAGACAATATGCACAAGGTGGTAGGGAGTACTACTTTGTACACTAATGATTAACCTATATATATGTATACATACATACACATCAAAGCATCAGTGGTGACTGCTCAGCAAATCATTTCAGAGGAAACTTTAAAGAAAAGAGACAAGGATAAAGAGCAGTCACGGTGGCGCAGTTGGTAGAGCCTGTTCAGATTCCGGCTGGGGGCCTTTCTGGGTGGAGTTTGCATACTCTCTGTGCTGCGTGGGTTTTCTCCAGGTACTCCAGTTTCCTCCCACAGACCAAAAACATGCATGTTAGACTGACTGGTTACTCTAAATTGTCTCTAGGTGTGAGAGAGAGAGAGTGAATAGTTGTTTGTCTCGTGTCCCTGTGATGGACTGGAGACCTGTCCAGGGTGTTCACCTCTCACGCAGTGACTGCTGAATAAGGGCACCAATGACCCCTATGACCCGAAAACGAAGGAGCGGGTGAAGATGATGGATGGATTAAAAGCAGGCGACTGAATTCATCTCTCTGGATTCACTGCTGGTGGAGAAAACAAGTTTCTGCATCTTGTGAATCAGTTGGAGCCACCACACAGCCCTGACACAGTCCTACTAGAACTGAATGAATAGATGGGTTCAGATCCCCCAATTTTGTATAAATGACAATTGTCTCCCCCCTAAATAATAATGATAATTTGAGGAAAGTATCATTTTAAGCAATATATAGAGAAGAAAATATTGAAGGGAGTAGTGGCACAGAGGTTAAAGAAGGTAGGCCTGTGATCGGAAGATCGTTGATTCAACTCCCGGTACCAACAACATCAACATGTAGGTGGGAAAGTTGAAGCACCCACACCTGCCTCCACCCTCATTTGCCCCACTCTGGGCCCTTGAGCAAGGCCCTTAACCCCCACCATCTGCTCCCCCGGGCACCCTAGCAGCTCTCTGCTCCACACAGAGGCTGTGGTAGCTCAGCGGTCTGTGGTTCAGTCAGATGTCCTCATCTGGTGTCAAAATAATTGACAAGTCTTTGTACGAGTTAGTTCCCTGTGGTGACCCCTGATGAAGGGAGCAGCCAGAAGAAGAAATAAATTTAAAAAAATATGGAGAGAGAAGCAAATATATCCATTATTAGGGAAAATGATGCATTCATGCTTCTTAACACAACACCCCCCACCCCCCGCTCCTCAGCCTAACAATGGTTCGGTCCATTGAACCTGGACTGGACTGGATGGGTGGGAGTAGAGAGAATGTTTGACTTTCAGTGGAGCTGTTTCACACTCTGAACGTTCCTGCAGCTCACCTGGGAGACTAGAGTTAGATCCACAGTGAGGGAATTCTGTTTTATCATTATCATTCTATAATAAATAATTTTGTCTTGAACATTTTTGAAATATTATTCTACTCAAAACAAAATATTTTAGCTTTTTGTAAATGGAAACAGTAATATTTCTATAATGTTTCCACAGATCTCTGACATGTTCACCTGTACGAAGGTAACTGCAGGTAAATCCTCCATTTTCTGTCATTATTACATTTCATGCTTAATGGTGAAATTAAAAGTTAATGTTTAAAGCTGGTCGTGCTTTGTTTTGTGTGTTTTATATGTAGATATATGTTGTAACTTCTGGTTGCATAAGTTTAGTCTTTGTTTCTTATGATCAATTTAAACCTATAGTTCATTTGGTTTTATATTTATAATTACATAAATAAATAAAAGGAAGAATAAGCTGTTGTTGTAAGTCACATGAATGCGTGACCAGGAAGTGAATCAAGTGCTTTAAAAGAGAAAAATGAGTGCAGGGGCTGGTGGAGAAAGACGTCTGGGTCTCTTAGTTTAGTTTCTGCATCTTGTCCAGCTGGTAATGAATGTTTAACTTTTATTTTATTTTACAACAGTACATTATACTGTTTCTTAAGAGCCCCCACCCCCCCACACACCAATAAGGTGGACCACCGTTGCTCACCTCATATCTCTGTCTGCTGAGCTTCTCGGTGTGGTCGTATTTAATTGCCTCCAGGTTTTGCAGCCACTCCCACAGCTCTTTGGCCTTTTCCCTATAAAAAAAAAAAAAAAGTCAAATATCATCTACGAAGGCACATAAACCATGGAGCAGGTTATGTTTTAATATTTGTTTTGGATGTGAATTAAATTGACTTGTTTTAAACAATTGATACATTTACACACACAGATCAACACGGAATGAGGAATTTGCTTTTGTTTATAATAGTTTTCCTATTTCAGAGATTATGTCACATTTGCAAACATAGTTTCCATAACTGTTTAGGTATTTCTTATACATTGACACTGACCACTTTAGATCAATTTATAAACTTTAAATCCACTGTGCAACCAAACAAAGGATCTTTTTGCATATTTTACATTTGCGTCTGAGCTCATGGAAGTGTTGGATTGAACTACTCTGCTCCAAAACACATTTTAAACATGCAGCAGTGCTGAGTCTTTGGACCTTTCTGTTTCTTACCTCAGCTGGTCGTCTGAGAGACTATCGATGTTCAGGGGTTTGATTCTCTCAGCCAGAACCTTCTTTTTCTTTTCTCTTTCCGTCTGCTTCTTGCCTCTCTTCTGGTCAATCTGGAAGTGTAAGAATCTCAAAATAAAAACACTTCACTCTCACTTCAGACGAGGGAGTAAAGTGAAGATTCCAACAGGAACGTTAACAGCAAGCACAAATGGAGCACAGCATACCCTCTGCAGATGGCTGCTGAAACCTGACCCCATATTGGTGAGTGCTATCTTCTTTTTAGCTTCATCATCAGCTCTCCTCAGGATGTCAGCCTCCTCTTTTCTCATCCGCTCAGCCTGGAGATGAAAACACATCAGCTTAAACTGCTCCACGGAGTCTTCTTCACATGGCATGTTTAGAATGACTGATGGACCTCAAGTGAATAATGTGAAGTAGTAATACATCCATCCATCCATCCATCCATCCATCCACCCATCCATTATCTTTTACCCGCTTCTTCCATTTTGGGTCACGGAGGTCACCAGTGCCCATGTCCAGCAATCACTGTGCGAGGGGCGGGAAACACCCTGGACAGGTCTCCAGTCCATCACAGGGACACATAGAGACAAACAAGACAAACAACCATTCACTCTCTCACTCACACCTAGAGACAATTTAGAGTTACCAATCAGCCTAACATGCATGTTTTTGGTCTGTGGGAGGAAACCGGAGTACCCGGAGAAAACCCACACATGCACGGAGATAGCATGCAAACTCCACCCAGAAAAGCCCCCAGACCAGAATTTGAGCCAGGGACCTGCTCGCTGAGAGACAGCAGCTCTAACAGTTGTGCCACTGTGCTGCCCTACAAATATATTACATAAATCAATAAGAAAACAGAGACACAGTGGCTCAATTGGTAGAACTGTTGCCTCTCAGCAAGTAGGTCATCGACTCAAGTCCTGGCCGGGACCTTTCTGGGTAGACTTTGAACATTCTCTCCGTGCATGCATAGGTTTCACCTTTTTACAGGTTGATCCTGGTATTTACTGGATACATACTGGGTACCTACTGAGTATCTATCTGATAGTTACCTTGTACATACCTGGTAAACTTGGTATCTACCTTCTACGAACTTGGTTAGTACCATGTAAGTAAATGGTAAGTACCATTTAAGTACAATGTGATGATGTGAACAGATGAGTTTCTGGTATATAGAGCGTACATCCATGACTATAAAGGACATACAAGAGACAGATCCACACCAATCATATGCCGGTTTCTTGATTTAGGGCTCATTTCTGCTAACAGAACCACACTGCTAACAGAACAACACTATTAACAGTGCCATGCTGCTAGTAGGACTATGCAGCTAACAGAACCACGCTGTTAACATGACCGCAATGCTGGTGGGACCATGCTACTAACAGAACCTTTATGCTAACAGAACCTTTGTTCTAACAGAACCACTCTGCTGGTGGTACCATGTTTCTTACAGGACCACACTGCTGGCTGTACCACACTGCTAGAAGGACCATTCCGCTGGCAGGACCTCACTGCTAATAGAATCACTCTGCTGGTGGGACCATGCTGCTAACAGAACCACTCTCCTGGTGGGACTATGTTGCTTAGGACCAAACTGCTAACAGAACTATGCTGCTAAGAGAACCTCACTGCTAAAAGAACCACTCTACTAACAGGACCATTCTGCTAAGAGAACCACTCTACTAACAGAACCATGCTGATAAGAGGACCTCACTGCTAACATAACCACTCTACGGGACGGCTGTGGCTGAGTGGTTAGAGCAGTTGTGACTGCTGGTGGATTTGAACCCCCAACTCTTGCATTGGAGGACAACTGCTCTAACCACTCAGCCACAGCCACCCTCAATTTGCTCACAGCAAACAGAACCACTCTACTAACATGTCCATTATGCTAAGAGAACCACTCTACTAAGAGAACAATGCAGGTAAGAGAACCTCACCCCTAACAGAACCACTCTGCTAACAGGACCATTCTGCTAAGCTAACCACTCTACTAACAGAAATATGCTGCTAAGAGGACCTCACTGCTAACAGAACCACTCTACTAACAGGACCACTCTGCTAAGAGAACCGATCTACTAAGAGAACCATGCTGCTAAGAGAACCTCACTGCTAACAGAACCACTCTGCCAACAGGACCATTCTGCTAAGCTAACCACTCTACTAACAGAACTATGCTGCTAAGA